AGTGGGGGCTGCTGCAGGGACATCGCCAGCCATGCCAACCCCTTCCCCACATCCCCCAGCATGTCACCCAGCCCCTGTGGGTACCAGGCAGGGTGGCACCCCATGGCAATACCACAAAATCTGCCAAACCTCGGGCGCTGTCCCCATCCTGCAGCAGAAAGGATGGCACCACGGCTCTCCACACACCCGACCCGTTTAATGCACATACAAGGCGGTCGTGCCCATCGCCCTGCCCACGGCACTGCATGTCTCCAGGGCTTCGGCCCACAGGGTGGGGGTTGCAAAGGTGGCGTCTTCCCCCATCCTACTCTCTTCAGGCACTACATCCCCGTATCCCCACGGTTCACAGCAAACACGGCCATGAGCTCGGCCCCCTCTTCCTCTTGCGCATCCCTGCCGTTGCAGGTGCTGGCAGCTGAGACCTGCCAGCTTGTAGCACTTGTGAGCAGCCCCCAGCCCTCTCACCACCTCACGCAGAACAGGCACAGCCGCAGCGGGTTCAGGCAGGAGGAAGGGAGCCTGCTGGGACCCCTTAGCAGAGGTGGGTGCAACATGATGGGTGGCAACCTGAGGGTGACGGCCGGGGGTGGGCAGGTTCTGGGGAGCAGGCAGGGCCTGGATGCCCTCCAGCCCCCCCCATGACCATCTCCCGGCCCAGCCCAGCTGCTCTGGAGGGGCTGGGGGTGCAGTGGGCAACCCCCTCTTTTCTGAGGCTGGAGGCATCAAGCAACAATGGGGCAGAAGGGCTGAGGCCATGGGGAGGGACAAGAGAAGGGGGAGGTCAGGTCCATCGTTAGCACCATGGTGGCAGGGGTGGTTTGGGGAGGGAGCCAGGGTCAGACCCACTCCTGCAAGGAACGCTTGCAGTATAAGAGCATTCGGGGCGTGCCCTTCCTCTGCATCTGGACAATGACATAGATGAGGCCGAGGATGCAGAGCAGCAGCACCAGCAGCACCAGCACCATGATGACGCTCATGGTGCGCGTGTACTCATCGATCTGCACCACAACGTCCACGTCTCCGCCCGGCTGGTGACCGCCCTTGCTGTAATCCTCCTCATCTTCCTCCTCCTCCTCTTCCTCCTCCTCGCCTTCAGCCTGACCATCCCCATCAGGGTTGAAAGGGGGTTGGTCCCCATCAGGCCAGCGGGGATGGTGGTCTGGGACCAGCTCCGTGTGACAGCCCATGAAGTCCCGTAGGACGGATTTGGGATAACCCGGCTCTGTCTTGAGCCGCTCGTTGTTGAATTTCCAGTACTTTGTGCCTCTGTAGAAGTAGGTGGAGGCTGTGGTGAGGAAGAAGATGGAGGTGAGGGGTAAGCGGGCAGGTGCAAGGCACCCCACAACCTGGGCATCCCTGCAGATGTCCAGGACAGCAGGTTTTGCTCTGGGACCAGTGAAACCCTTCAGAAAGGGCTTCACTGCTGACTCCCGGGCACCCTCCCAGCCTCCATCCTGTGTGGCCAGGCCACCAGAAGGGTGATCTCATCTCCTCTGCTCCCCTCCCTGCCGCCCACCCCTCTTCTCCTCCTCTACTTACAGGCATCTGGGCTGAGGAAGGCACCCTTGGGTGAGGCAGGGATGCCCGCCCAGACAGAGATGGGCTTTGGGTACCCGGGGTCCACCAAGCGAGTGTCCTCGTTAAAGCGCCAGTATCTGGGGGAGAGGGGTGGTGAGCAGGTGAGGAGCACGTGGGTCTCCGCTGCCCACCATGCCCACCCCTGCCTTGGGCCAGGAGGTGGCAGAGCAGGGAGGAGGACCCCTGAGACACTCACCTGTCCCCACGGAAGAAGAAGGTGTGCCCTGTGGGCTCCCACCAGACGGCCGTGTCGATGCTGTCGTAGGGGAGGCCCTGCCCATAGGTGACCAGAGGCTGCGGGTACCCAGGCTCCAGGTTGGCTTCTCGGAAAAGCCAGTACCGGTCACCTGGAGGGCAAGAAGATGGAGAAGGGGGATGAGGCGGCAATGCCCAGCTGCTGCAGCATGTGCACACATGGA